TACGACTCACTAACTAGTGTGAGGTAAAGTCGTTTTTCTTCTTCTTCTTCTTCTCCTCCGGGGATTATGCGAGAGCATAAACTTCACAGCAAAGTTTGAAATGTCATCATGTCAGATGTCATATCCTTCTAGTTCTCGAGCAAAGCACTCCAAAGCGATTCCCTTTGCAACTTCTCCGAGATGTGGAAATCAGCTACTTAGTTATTGCATTGTCGCGTATTTCTGTGACTGATCTGGTCTGAGATATATCAGAAAATACTGAAATATATTCAAAATGTAGCATCTTCACTGGCCAGTTGATGTCTTATTTTTGCTCCACAAATTCATATTCAGCTTGACTGAGAAAAACTGGAAAGCGGTTGCCTTTGAGCAACCGCTTGTTGTTCTTTTGATTATTCAACTTAGTTTGTTGCATCTTTGATTCATCGTTTTGCCGCAAAATCTTTGGGGTTTGGCAAACTGCTAGAAGGTTGGGGCTTAAATTAAAAAAATAAAGGTCAACAGTCGTGTCTTTAAAGATGCTACCGAGGCAACTGTTCCCTGCAGGCACGTGGACGACTACATGTGTAGATGCCACTGTAGGCGGAGGGCTGTGCTCTTTACGTTTGTTTACTTTTTTGTTTAATTTATTAAAGTGAAATGCTGCTCATAAACACGGCCAGAACTGTAGGTTGGCTTTAAAGCCATCCAGCTCGACGATGCTCTGTTTTCTATTCCCTCTATTCTACCCTTTCTGCCTTTAATATTTTCTTGCCCTTGTGCTATCTCTCTTTTGTGTTCACTTATTTGTGGTCTGTCTCTTATTCTGTGTCTGTTTCTGTCTTCTTCTTTTTTTTTCCCACTCTCTCTCCCTTTCTCTTTCTCTGGGGATGCAGATGAAAACCAAGCCTGTTTTATTTTTTCTTCAGAGGGCGCTGAATATTTCAGTTTTGCATTTTCTCTCTTTTTATGTGCTCTCGCTTTTTTTCTCCGAGCCCCTTTGATGTGTCTGTGGATTCGTTATCATTCCGTTTGGATGAGCTCACAGACGCAGATGTGGAGGCACTCACATGCACTTGGCTCTCTCACACACACACACACACACACACACACACACACACACACACAAACACACACTCACACTGACTCTCTGGCTTTTTATGCTAGAGACCAGCAGCATCCACATGCAAGCGTGCATTCTGGTCTGTTTGTCAGTCTTTTCCATGTGCTGCTCCACCCACATCACAGCCCATACAATTCTTAAATGCTCTTGCTTACATGAAAAGAATATTTGCATAAGCAATTAAGAGTTTCGTCTTTGTGCACAGACGTCAGCGGGTGCTTTTGTGTCAACTGCATGCGTGAGCCTATATACAGTAACTTCATTGTGTATCCGCCATGTGCTCGCGCACTCACACAGGCGGCACGTGGCACCGTGTGGTCAGAGGAGTCCGGAATATGCCGGCATCCCCGCACCCCTCCTGTCTGCCAGGCGGCTGGCTGGCGGAAGCTCCTTCACCCTCTCTAGTACACAAACACTCTTCTCTCTTTGCCGCCCTCTCTTCCTCCCCTTTAAACAGCTGTTTAAGGATTGAGGGATAAGAGGACTTCCTCTTTAGCGAAGGCACATCTTTAATTTGAGCCTCCTCTCCTTCCACTTTTCTGACCAGAGATCCATTTAAAGCCAACAGGCCGCCCTGGCGCTGGCACCCCTCTCCTTCCCTTTCCCTCTCCATTTCTCTCTGCCAGGCCTCCTTGACTCCTTTTTCGCTGTCCTCTCATCTCACCCTCGTTGCTCTGTTATTGATGGTGACACGCTGTCTACCGCTGTAGTGACCACACACGTTCACACGTGCACACACACACACACACACTCAGTTATGCTCCCGAGATTCCCCGAAGAGGCCAAGCGTTCACCTGCTCTCCTCAGCTTAAGAGCATAATATGTTTCAATCTGTCACATACTTGAAGTTAGCTGCAGTCACTTTTTTTTCTTCCTGTGTATTCTCTGAGGTATAGGCCCAGCAGCCAGCTCCAACTTACTCATAGTGCACTCCTTGAGTAGAGTTGTCAGTCACACAGAGAGTTTGGGATTGTGGCTCATGAACAAAGGCCTCTGTACACGCACGTGAGCGCGCACGCACGCGCAGGCTCAGTTGTCTCTCAAGCGAGACACACACCCAATTCTTTTCTCCCTCTCTCTCTCTCTACGCTCTCCTCTTGGAAGTTTTAAAAAAAAACTTGCTATTTCTGTGACATCCATTTTTCCATCTTCCTCTCTCTTTTCCTCTTTTTTTTCTCTTTTTTCCATCTCAGTCTCCCCACATATCCTTTGTGTCTGTCTGAGTCCGGAAGGCAGTCGTGCAACGAGACTGATTAATAATTACAGAGTACACAAAATTGGGAAAGAGGCAAAAAAACCAAAAAAAAACACTTTGTCGTTTGATGTCCAACATGAGAGAAACCAAAATTACAAAGAGACAGAACTCTATAAAGAGGAGAGAAAGCTTGCACATTCCTTTCTCAATCCTCTGCTTTTGTTCTCTGCTGTTTTGTTTTTTAATTTTTTTTTATTTTATTGCCTCCTCTGTTTTTGCTGGGGGGGTTTTATCGCCTCAGTTTCAGTTCTGTCTTTATAAACACCTAAAGTTGTTTCTTTGATTACAGGAAGAGATTAACCACTTTACAAAGCTGCAAACCACTATATGCTTTTCTTTAGATGTACTTCCAATTTTTCATTTAATTTATTTTTTAAGTTGTGCATGGATGCTCATAATCATGCTGCTTTTGACAGCCTTCCTGCTTTGTGAAGTACAGATAAATGCACGGAGCATAGTGCCTCCCCCTACCACCACCACCCGATGTGTGCCTGTTGTAATTTAGTAATAGTTGTACTTCTAATTGGTTTAAAGTCCCACTGGCCAGAATTTCATTCTCGCTGCTGCTTGTCTGTCCAGAGGGAATAATTATCCATACCCTCTTAGAGTAGCAATTTACAAGGGAGCAGAAAAACACAGCCACACATTCACTTATACTCAAAGCACTGCATAAGGCACGCTGTAAAGAGGAAAAAGTGCACAGTCAGTCGTACTGTCCCCCCTGATATCGTGCTCTTTGTGCTTGAATCAGATGAAGCATCTTGAAGGGTTGAAATAGTGGCTGCAGTCCATGTAGTTGCACATTTAGTGTTACTTTTTGTGAAAATTAAATCAATTCACGCAATTCTGTTTTTAGCAAAGTCCCATTTATGCACTGTACATGGATAACAGATGCTGTCGTTAAATTATTATGATCTGTTTTTCGGTGTTTTTAAACCTGGGTGCGCAATTCTTAAGTTGTTTATTCAGACTATATTCGTGCACGCCACACATGTGAGGAGCACGTGTGGCGTCATTAAAATACGAACGTTATACGAGTGTAAGGGGATAATATTTTCCAGGTTTGTGGGGGGGTTTTTTTGGTTGGATTTTGTCAACATGGTTTCATCAAGAAGTGTCATGCAAGAGATGAGTGAATCTGCCAAATTCCAACACTTCGAAATCTACTGTGGGTATCATGTGACAAACACTTGGAGGTGGCAGAACAGATGTGCGTGCTTTTCGCATTATTTTTCACAGTCAAGTCTGAGTCGAAGTCATTGGTGACAACAGAGTTTTGTCATCACAATATTGAGTATAGAATCATATAATAATAGCAAACGTGTGTCAACTAGTCTGTTGTATATTTATTTTTAATTCTTTAGTAAGTTTTTAGTTTTTAATATTTTTCATATAGCTGTGTATTTTCTTATGTCTGCCTTTATTTCAGTTTGTTTGTTTTTTTAATCGGTTAATAAACCAAAAAATATGCAAAGAGGTGCAAATTTAGAGCAAGAAGTTTAGCCTGGCTCCAAAAATATTTCGGTTCATTTGCATCTCCAGGTTTGAATGTCAGCAGCAACTTTGTCTGGTGTCAGTTTCGTGATTGACTGACAGCCTGTTCGTGGTGTCACGTGTCTCCTGCCCAGCTCTACCCTCCCGCATAAGCAGGTGTAGTGGATGGATGGACAGAAATTTAAAAGCTGTTTACAAAAATAACACCTTCACACACTTCCCTGGCTTCTAGCGCTGTCATTTTTTTCTACTCTGTATCCCTCCGCCCAGACACACTCCCTTCCCCACCTACCTTCTGTGCGTTAAGCTTGACAGCTACATTGTATATGATGTTGCGGCTGGGCCTGTTGGCTGGGCTCTGACAGTTCTCAGTATGAGGCCATCCCTCTCAGTGTGCCTGTCAGTCCCTCTCCTCTTGGAAGACTGTGACCTGACATTTACCGGCAGTAGCATCGGCACGCCTGCCTGGGAGATACAGCCACGCATTCCGATGAGCGAGGCTATACCGCATGCACAAAGTGACTTATTTTAATTTAAAACAGGGTGAACGATAATGAAGGATCATGGAAAGTCTTCACACATCGTTCAACATGGGAAAGAAACTTGTTGTTTGTTGAATATTTCACTCTTTGATGTCGAGAGAAAGCACCACATTAAAGCTCAGTCTATCGTGTTTGATACATGAGTGTTGCTGAGTTTTTAAAACTTCTATATCATCAGTGAACCTAAATAAACTTCACAATACATTTATAATCATTAAATTGCAAAAATTGTCAGCTGTAGCAAATTAAAACTCATATATGCAAATTAATATGTCATTATTTAATCGTTTGTTAATTTGTCCTCAGGTTCCATAAATACTCTATTTTCAAAAAATTAGAATTTTGCAAAATAATATGGCAATTATTTCACAGTTCAGGTTTTAAAGGGTCAACCAAACCTGATAGAGTGTATGCAAAAAGAACAGTGATGATTTTCTGCTTCTAAGTCTATCTTCGTTCTCTGTCTTTTACTATGAAACTACTGTTTTGAGAAGTTCTACAAAAATAAAAGTTTACTTTCTTTCTTAACTATTTCTGGATTTCTTGTCTGCAATTGTGTTTCTATGGTTATGTAGTGTGTGTTCATTTGTGTGTGTTTGGTTTGAAGGGAGAAGGAGAGCCAGCTGGACAGAGCCAGGGAGAGCCAAAGACAGCACATCCAGCAGGCAGATATGGCGCTGGAGCAGTTCAAGAAACAGGTGGAGCTCAGCTCTGAGAAGGCCTACGCTGACATGAAACTGCAGGTCTGATAACGCACATCAGCGCGCGCCGTAATCACAATGCATGCGAGCGAACACGGGCTGGCATCCACGCACACCTGTTTTCTGTTACCCGAATGCATCCATATTCATGCGAGGACTGCACATTCCTCTTGTGCAATGTTTGTGTTTCCTGTTGTGTGCCAGAACAGATTAGTGTTTACACATGCACACACACTTTAACTGTAACCCTGTGTCAGGTTTGCTGTACCGCAAGCGGAGTGAGCTGCCTGCTTGGCAATAACCAGAACAATGGGCACACACACACACGCTCTTTATATTTTTTCAGCCTAACCACAGAGAACATATTCTGCAAGGCATCATTTTTCCAGCACCTTTGCTCTTACACTGAAAAATCTATATGCAAGAGCCAAGAACATTATCACCCTCAGGCCCTTTTTTGAGCCATCCAGTCATTCCAGATGAATGTAATTATTTGTAATCCCGCTCATTAAGCAGGTGTATTCACTTCACCGCTATCGCACAGTGAACTCTCTTGTCAGTGGGCGTGACGTAGGCTGGTCAGGTTCCAGAGGAGAGCAGGTCGCCGCATTAAGCAAGCAGACTAATTAGTACGTCGGGCCTGCCTCGCGATCAGCGCTGCCTCGCTGCGTGGGCTGCTGCTTATTGGGAGAGACTTCCGATCGATACGCACTCGGCTCGAAAACTTCTGATGCTGTTTTACTAGTCAGTTTAGCTATAGGCGCTTTTGTCAAGCATTTCTGGCTATACTGCGTGTGTGCAGTATTGACCAGGCTGCACCGAGTGTGGTCTTAAATGTTTCAAAGGGCCCAATGCTGGAGAGATTATTAAGTTTTAGTTGCTGGTTATTTTTATTTATGTATTTTAAATGGCTAATCATTATTATGTCTGAGTGGGAGTTTTGGATATTTGTGGGCAAACAAACTAAACGTTATTTCCCAAGCCTGAATTTAAAATACCCTCTTGTATTTCAAAAAGCGAAGAAGAAGAAGAAAGTGTGCTGCTTGCATCTGATGCATCTGAGCAGAAAAAAGGAAGAAGATCCCATTCAAGTAATAAAGCATATTCAGGTGTTGTCGAAGCTGGGACTTTCTTGAAGTTTTTGCGTTATTGCGAGTAGACTCTTTTGGATCGGTGCCACAACACTGAATATTTTTAAATATTTGCACAGGAAGACAGAACTTTTGTTTGCCTTCTTTCTTTCTTGTTCTTGCTACTTGAATTCAAGGCCACATGTGTGGCGAGCGATGCCTTGGAAAATGTCTATATCGGTGCGCCACTTCATCCTGCTACTCTTTTCTGATGTTCTCATCCTTCCATCCTGTTGCTCATTCTTTCTTTTCCCGTTGAGCCCCCCCTTGGCATCCTGATCTCCAATCTGACTTTATCCTCAGCCCACATCAAAGCCATGGGAGAGGGGAGCAGTCTCTCCTGCATCTCTGTCATCCTCACCCCCCCTCTTTCCTCTTCTTTTCCTCCCCACCCCACTTGTTCATCGCTGCATCACGTTCTCCGGCTAAGGCTTTAATGTTGCAGAAAGAACTTCAAAAGAAGTTTTTACTCTCCTCCCCCCCCCTTCCTTCCTTCCTTCCATCACCCATCCATCCTCTCGTCATCTTCTCTCTCTTTCTCTGTCTGCAGATAGAGTTATATCTAATGGATTATCTGTATCACCCCCTTCCTCTCTCTGTCTGTCTCTCATTTTAAAATCAGCATCTCACTTTTAGAGCTCACTTTAAAGGAAAGAGTCTGCCCTATTTTGATTTTTTTTTTTAAAAGAAGAAGAAGAAGAAGCACCACGCAGAATCAAATCTCTGTTGCGCGCATAGTTCAAAGGAGGCTTCGGCATTTTAAATGGATTAATCAAAACACATTTTGCATTTCCTGAGCGTTACACACAGCGTAGCCCAAATACAGAGGCGTTTGAGTAAATTGCATTTCCAATTGTTGCTGATTACCGTCACCTGAACAGGAAAATCGGAAAAAGGTAGAGTGCGGGGAAGTAGAGTATAGGGTAAATACTGCGGAATCCCTTTTTCCACGAAAACACAAAGACAAAGGCTTATAAATTTTTATGTGAACTGCTTGCGTAACAGTGCAAATTATTTAGATTTCAGTTTGAGTAGATTTATATATCAGCATGCTGCGTCATTCCAGCATCATCACAGGAATTCGTTGTGTTCTTTCCCAGTGGCACTTCATTAATCTCCAATTAAAAGACAAATATTCCTGGAGCCTCACTTTCCTGCAGATCCCAGGTGTTATTCTGGTAGTTTGGTGTATGAGATTTACTGTACTTGCGATTCTGCAGAGATATTTCTAAATATACATATATGTATATGACCAGCCTTATGCTTGTGTACTAATTAATGAACTTATGTGCTGGATTCTTCTGATGCCTTCAGATGGAGAAGGTAGAGGAGGACCTGAAGCGCTCCAGGTCCCTCAGGGAGAAGCAGGCCAAAGAGTTCTCGCAGCAACTCGACGACCTCAGACAGAAGTTCGAGCAGCAGGTCTGTGAGTTTCTAACTCACTGTGCAATTGTTCTTGACTTCTGTGCTCATCTCCGTCATCGCCATCATCGTGTTATCTTCACTCTATTATCAGCGAGCACTCGGTCTATTGGAGACAGCTAACGGGCGACTGACATCCATTTGGAGCAGTCTTGTTATTCCTCCCCATCTGTTCCGTCTGATTAATTTCTCATGATAAGGGGCATGTTTTAGATTAAGCTTAGATTCCGGCTCAATAAATATCTTAAACGTGGCCAATTGAAAAGTAACGCAATCTGCATAGAAGATGTGTAGCTCGCTTATCACCCCATCTCACTCACTCTTCTTCAATTAAGAGTCGAGAAACCATTTTCACAACCCATTTGAAATCTGGCTCGCTGATAGAGACGCAGCAGATTCAATTAAACCGCAGGAGCCGATATTAGTGTTGGCGGCTGATCTTACTGTAGGAGGCAGAGAGCGTCACTTTTATTTCTGTTACTGTAACAAATGTAAACAGTATTTATATACCAAATAAAAAATAAACTATCTAAATTACTCCATACGAGACTTTATGACCATGTGACACCACGCTTGTTTTGGGCGTGGATATTACTAACGGCTGTGACATCTCTTTTTTCCCCATCTATATCCACAACATGATTGCTTTCCAGGCACCAAATAGCACTCAACCTTTGTGTTAATAAGCATGCTTACACTCATTTCCAGGCCAGATGGAGTTTACGTTGCGTGTAATTTGCTGTAGATCGCTGTAAATGGGGGGGATATGAGGCCAGTCTTATATCTAAGGAATGGAGAAACTGTGCTTCATTATCGATTTGCTCCATGGCTGAACAGTTGGGTTTGTAATTAGAATGGCATTTATAAAATAAAATGTTAAAAAATAGCATATTTTAAAACCACTTAAATATAAAGACTACAGTGTGTTGAAATATTTTTCAAAACATCCCCGGAAACTGAAGAAAGGGCCGGGACATAAAGCGCTTCACTGGCTGCTGCAACGATAAATCGTCATATAAATAGACACTGCTGGTTAAACCATTAAACAGATTGCATTTGCATCTAAAAGACACTGTCATCCCCATGTAACCATCCAGTAAATGCAAAGATTTATCAGTGTTTTGAATGCCAGCTACAGCGTATTGTTCTGAGAAGTCATAACTAACGGGTAAACGATCAAAGGTTTGCAGGAAATATTGAAGTGATGATTATCAGCCACTGCCACGCTGAGTGGGGGTGCAGTTGACAGTTGAAGACAGCCACATAGGGTTAGCGGCACATCAGAAAGGCTTTTGTCTTAAAGATAAAACATACATGAAAACAATGGACCTGTCTCTGTTATGATTTTGATATGAGAGCTGAGATTTGCTACAAAGAGTTTGGAGGGGGGGTGTTTTTACACCTAGGCATGTTATTATTCATGAGCTACTCTGTGACCAGCCGCTTAATGTTAGACATGCGTTATATATTGTTTTGAAGCAACTCCACATTCTTTACTTGTTTCCTTTCTCTCGTGTCTGTGTGAGAGTACATTGTGTTTTCACTCCAGAAAAGCTGGTGTCACAAGATTTCTGGGGTCAAGGTAGTTCATTCAGATGTTCACAAAAGAACACTCCCTCCAGTGCAGCTTCGGGGGGGGATCTGTGTGCGAAGGAGTTGTTTTCCACTTGACTCCCAAGGCAATCAGACATCGTGGTTTCTGACAGAGCTCTTCCTCTTACAGTCTGGGAGACGTATCAAGATTAAACGGCTCATCGCGACCTTGAGAGTTTAAATACACAACCGGCCTCTTTCTTCAGATGTTAGGTTGGAACAATAAATACTAAAGCAGGCTGGTTTATTGTACAAGTCGACCGGTGATATTGGTGTCAGTGAATATGTTGAGATCTATGGGAGAATGTGTAGCTGCAAGAATTTGGTAAAAGTATATCATACAGGAGGGAAAAAAACACTTATCAAAGTTTATTTGGGAGCAAAAATGTTTTTTCTAGCCAGTGATAAAATAATAATAAAAGTATTGCATTAGCTGTTCAGGAATTTCGGTCTTTTATGTAATAATCAGTTCTCCATTTCACAAACTAGGATAATTTTTAATACAAAAATTGTTTTTAAAACTGAAATGAAATGAAAAACCTTTGCGGTCAGTGATTGCCTAAAGTCTTAAACCCATGAACATCACTAACCTCCCTTGTGATCCCCTGATAGGCCTTTACTGCAGCTGTTATTAGATGCTGCTTGTGTGTGGGTCTCTCTACGTTCAGTTTCATTTTCAACAACAGAAAAATAGCTCTTTTGGGTTGAGATCAGGTAAATGACTTGGCCATTGAAGAACAGGACCTCTGTGGTTGCTTTTGCAGTATACTTTGGTTCATCATCCATGTCATCTTGCTACTTCTATCAGCAGACATATGACCAATAAACACTAGTGACGTAGTTACACTGCCATACATGAATATGCATGGTTATACTTGGTCATACATGCCTGCTAGTTCTAGCTCGGCCATACATGCCCATGCTACGACACTTCCTCCACCATCTTTGATAGATGATGTGTATGTTTTAGATCATGAGCTTTTTCTCTTCTTCTACATTTGTTTCTCGTACCTTCATTCTGGTACATGTTGATCTTGCCCAAATTGTATCCATTTTTTTTTTCCAGAACTATCCGGAGTCTTACATTTTTTTTCTTGCTAACTCTAATCTAGCCGTCTTGTTCTTGAGTGTAATGAGTGGGTTGCACCTTTTTGTAAGTTCTTGGCTGTAGACTTTGACAATAATACACATAGCTTTTCAAGTCTGTTTCTGATATGGGTTGACATTGTGAAAGGTTTTTCTTCACCAAAGAGAGAATTCTACAATCATCCACTTTAATTGTCTTCTATGGTCTTTTAATTCTTTTGGTGATGCTGAGCTGGGCAGCGCATTCCTTATTTCTACCTGATTGCTGATTTGGCCACTTCTGCAGTTTTTGCGATCTCTCTGGAGCTTTTCTGGGGGCTTTCAGCCTAACCCTAACCATGACCTTTGTCATTCAGAATCAGTGAACAGCTACCGAATCCAAGTTCAATTCCACCTGCTTGATTTGTCGTATAATAAGAAAGGAAAACATATAAAAATGGTTGTGAATGCGATAATTTTGTTGAACTCTTTGATTTAAGTGAAAGTCTGCACTTGAGTCACATCTTAAATGGTCAATTTAAAATCCTCTGTGTGCAGAGGCAAAATTACATGTAGATGTACAAGACGATACGTATATTGAACACATATATCAGCAATAAATAGAGTGGCCAGTTGCAGTACAAACCTCTAGTGAGATTGAAGGTGTCTTTTTTTTTTTCTGTTCCTCAGTCTCTCTCCACCCGCCTTCATGCACCCCATTCTCCCCTGCTGAGACCAGACAGGCCTTCTGTTCTACTCTGCTTTCCTCCCTCCTCTCCCCTCCGCCTTTCCAAACATTTTCAGATTTCCCTCCCCAGGGTTGAAAGAAGCCTATTACCTCACTGTCCTGCTTCAAGGCATGCAGCTCACACACATACACAACCATGTCGGTCCAGGCTGACGGGAGTCGTGCTGTGCAGTAACACCCGACTCACTCTGTATCTACGGCACCCAGCTGTGCCATACCCGTTTCAGTCTTCCCTCATAAGCACCATGCCGGTCCCTTTAAGAACCACAGCATCCAGCATCCTCTAGTCCACAGTGGCGCTACGTGATGTCACAGCCAGGCTCCTTGCTATGTCTGCTCTCTGTCATCTCCTCTCCGTGCTTTTCTAAAAAGATTTTTCCACCATCTTGCCCAATTCTTTATCCTAATTTCTCCCGAGATCCCCTCTTTCCTCCAAACCTCCCCCCATGGGCCGAGAGTCTGAGCAGAAAGGAACAGTAAGTCAGGACGTCCTCCGCCACTTTCTCTTACCTGCTGGGGAGTTCTTGAAGCAGCTGCGCGCTGCTCAATCCCTCAGCTCTAAAATGTACAGCTGTATGATTCTGACTCTTCGTGTGGGACAACGCATTCTAGCTGTGGATCTGATTTGCATGTGTTATTTTGTTAAATGGGAAAGGAGGTGAAGGCGGTGCAAGTTGTCACTAGAATTTTCTGTAGACATCATCATTGGCAGCATGTGAAACATGTTGCGCTTGTTTCGTGTGGTGTTTGCCTGCCTGCTGTCCTGATCTGTTCTGAAAAATGGCATGTGTGTGAGGTTATCCTGAGGGTGTGTGTAATTGTTTACTTCTGCCATGCCATCAACTAAGCCTCAGAGATAAAATCCATTTTTATTCAGTGATCCTTTCATTGCTATTTGCTGAGGTTGAAGTTGAAGTTCTCCCAAAAGTAGAGGAATACATTCTTGGCTGTCTAAATCAAGTTTCTATTGTGGCCTTCGTCTCAGTGCCAGGGATGGAATCCGGCTTCCTGTAGATAGCCCCTCATTCATCACCTGCTCTGAATAGCAGGCAACTTTGGAAGATATAACCATGGATAGAGCAGGCAGCGGGCACAGAGGCCGTTGATCTCCGCTTCTCTGGCAGGCCAGGTAGGGTGCCGTCATGCACAATGTGCTGGGGATTAGCTTCAAAGCAGGGAGGCAAATGGGCCCCAAGCCCCTGCTGTCCTTTCAGGGCTCCGACTGGGCCTGCACGGTGGGATGGTGTGGGGGTCACTTGTCTCCCCGCCATGGGGGAGTGGGAACGGAACGGAGCCTGGGAAAGGCTTGGGGGCTTGGGGCTGGGAGCTTCACTGGCAAGGCTCACCTCTCAGCAGGTGACTCCGCTTACAGCCAAGATGGAATACAGACTTGGTTCAGCTGACAGGATGATTAAGCCCTGAAAAATTGGGGCTTTGCGTCCCATTAGAAGTGTTTTATTTTGCTCTGCTGTATTATGTGTAGGTGATTGCAGCTCTGCTGAGACTAAAGGCTTTGCTGTGGTGTTTTTAACCGCTAACCACGCCTTCTTATTGAATGGTTGGTGCAGGTTCTTACTACACATTGCATTAGCAGTATAAACCTCAGTTACATTCTGGTGGCATAGACATTTACATTTTGAGAAAATGGAATTGATTTTCATTAATATGCGCATTTTCTATCAGTTAAATTCATTCATAGATTATAATACAGTACCAAGAATATTTTAGCACCTTCTCCTTTCACCTCTCTTTCCATTTTTTTTTCTAATTTGGGTTTATAATAATCATCATAGTCATTGCCTAAGCCGATTTTCACATGCTGTCAGGCGCATAGCATGGGGCATTGGGTAGTTGCTGCAGCCAGATGGCTAACCCCTACCAGCTTGCTTGCATAGCCCAAACTCGCAGCTCTTTTATATGCCGATCCCAGAATAAGGCGAGGGGGACAGATTTGAAGAAAGAGGAGTGGGACGTGGAGGGCCAGTCTGTACAATTGGCAGGAGAGGCGGGAGGGCGGGGGGGAGCGAGCCAGATGTAAACACATCACATCATGTCGTCCTCTGACGACGTGAGGAAGCGGCAAAACTTTTCTCGCTTTTTTTCACCCCTCCCCGCACTTTCCTACCAATTTCGCCAAATTTGGCTTGGCACACACGGGGGTTCTTGGGTGGAGGAAGAGGGTTTGACGGAATAGGACGAAGAAAGGATGGATGGATCGGTGGATGGACAAGTTGTCATGACGACAGGGTTGCTCTGAGTGTGTGTTGGCTGATGAAGTCTCTCTTTGCCTGCTTGTCCAATCAGATGGCTGAGCAGCGCATGCAGCACGAGCAGGAGAGGACGCGGCTACAGCAGCAGCACAGCGCGGAAAAGGACAGCCTGGTCCAGGAGCACCAGCGGGAGGCGAGCAGCCTGGAGAGGCAGGCCAGGGCCGTCCTACAACAGCACCAGCAGCACACCCAGGAGTGGAGGAAGCGCGATGCCCAGGTAGGGGGTCTCCACTGATCCACGCACTCGCACGCACACACACACGCGCTGACCCGCCGGTCTCTCGTGGACAACCATTTTGTATTTTGCTCATTGACGTTTTCCTGGGGTTTCAAAAGCACAGCAGGTTGAGATACTTTTTTATTTGAAGCAAGACATATATTGACGTGCGGCGCGAATAATTTTAGAAACCGTATGTTCAGCGCAAGAACACAGAAGATCGTAGATGCTGCCGTTTGAATTAAAATTTGTTTTGAAGCACTGTTGCGCGCGACAAAAAAGTTTTTTAAAAATGGAATGAACAAAACGCAGAATGGCACCGTCCCAACTTCAAACGATTTCCCCGTTGTATTTTAACTCACTTTTTATCGCAGCAGGCTTTGTGTAAAGTGTAAAGACCAAAAATCCAAAAGACCCACAGGTATCTATGTAAAGGGGAAGAAATCAACGCTGTTGAGTGCTTAGCTTTTATTCCACAACCATGGTTTGAATTTGTGTTTTAGAAAATTGTGGACGCCCTGTAAAGCACTTTTTAGTCCCACCAAAGTGAATTTTTCTGCCTCCCATTCTCCTTTCACCACAGGTAGCTATCACCCTCCGGAAAACAGCGATTATTCTCTTATTGCAGCATGGTCAGCCACAATGAGTGTATGACATTTTGGGTCTATATTAACGGATATCCCTGACAACTGAGAGACTATGTGGTCACCATTTAACCAAAGCAGCAGGGTTTCATCTCAGACCCCATCACGCACTGTCTTCGCCTCTCTCCAGCCTGGGCAAGACTGGAGCTCTGTGGGAAGCCATTCGACAAACCAGTCCCCAGCTGGGGTTTGTATTTGACTCTTCAAGCTTCTTGATGAAATGAACATTGGCAGCATGTAGAGAATTTTGTATATTGGCGGTTAGCTGACGATGGGAGCCCAGAGAGACTTTTGTTACGTTTGTGGACCGAATTTCCTCACACCGACTCTGGTCACTCATCGCGAATGGCGAGGAAATTAAACCTAGACAATTTTCTGGTTAGTTTTTGTCCTCACAAGACAACAATAACTTTAAATGCAATAAGAATGAAATAGTTTATACCTAGTAAAAGCTAATATGCAGCAGTGTTATGCTTTAAGGAGTAATATACACCTGAGCCTCCCCAATTAGACAAATTTGATCAGTTTATCCTGTGTCTACGGTTTGAGTTTTAACATTAAAACTAGATGCAGTGCTCCCACTTAGTTTGAAAATGAATCCATATTTAGGATACGCTCGGATTTGTTTACTATAACTTTTATTTTCTCGACCCCGTATATCTTTTAGCCATATCAGTATACTTCTACAGTAGCCAAGTTATTGCAATATAAACCATCTTCAAGGCTGGAAGCTGTGTCAAAAGACTAACCAAAAAAAACCTGAGATGTTTCTTTAGATGCCGTCACCACAGGACACTTCCACTGATAGCATGTCGCCCTGCTCGTGTCAACATGACGTGCAGTTTGACAAATCTCACAATCTCAGCTAATGTCAGTCACACAATCTCAGCAAAAAAGCAAAAAGCAAACTTCCCCAGTCCTCATTTCATATTCTCAGTTCCTGTTTGCTCCTGCAGCATTTTCAGCAGACATCAGTCGCCTGCCTAATGTCAGATGTTAAAGCGTCAGAAATCAGGATTTTTCACTCAGGCCTCGGAAAGATGGATAACTGATGGTTTGTGAGGGGGGTGAGCTGGTTTGACTTCCTGTGTGAGAGCAGATGCACAGATGTGCTGTTTGCTGTTAAAAAAGAGCCACAAGCTGGCAGACTGTCAGCCCATATGTATTAAAAATATGCCTATTATATACATACTTATTATTAAACACAACTGCAGTGCTGTAGCTGTGTTTTTCCACAGCTCTGCCACACTGATATCACGTGGCTGTTTACATGCGTCTCTTTTAAAAAAAGCAATGTGTGAAAGTTGTGATATAAGAATTTAATTTTAAAAAACTTTTTATTTTTGTTGCATGCAGACAGTATGGAGCAATTCCTTGCAGGACGTGTTACACCTCGTTCTTTTTTTGTGTTGCCGAGCTCCCCCTCAGACAACAGTGGACCATAATATCATCAAGCGACTGTCACAACATCATCATATCATAACAGATAGCTCAAAGGCTTGCTGTGGCAATAGGTCTCAAGCCCCTGTTTTTTTCTGCCTAGCTCTTCTCACTTTCTCTTAGTCTTCCTTGAATCAGTGGAAGGACAGTTGCAGCTAAAAAAAAGTTGGCAAGGACAGAGAACAGCTAATGTCTGTCACACACTCTCAGGGTGAGTAATGCCCACTCATCCCCTTGATGTGGTGGGACACTAATAAATAGCATTCCTGTCTCTTGGCTTGTGTTTGAGAAGCAGAGCCAGTGAGTCGACTCACACAGGGACACACTGTCCTCATCCCACCAGAGTTTATCATCCAGGAAACTCTGGATTCTTCCACTATGTAGTCGCAAGTCAGCGGCGTTATCGGGGCTAAAGGACGATCGATCATATGCAAGGAGTTATCATTGTTTACACGTTTACATATCAGTCTTTTATAATCACGGGATTTCTAAAGAGAAAATATTGTAAAAGAGAGGGGAAAAAATAACATGGTTCAATGTTCTCATTACAGAATGAACTAGAGACTTTGAGCTGGTTGAACCATTAAATTGATGAAATGTCTTGCTGGTGAAACATGTTTGCCCATAGCGTGTTTTGTTAGCTGATTAATGCCCCCCAAAGGACGAAGCAGCACAAATAATGATGGCATGGACTTTCTCGCTTCCATTCTGGAGACTCTAGCAGAGTGTGAGTGTGTGTGTGTGTGTGTGTGTGTGTGTGTGTGTGTGTGTGTGTGTGTGTGTGTGTTGTGTGTGTGTGTTTATATACTTACTAAAACTTACTATTTTGTACCTCTAAACAGTAAAATATCCATAATAAAAGAAAACAGACAAGTATTGGATTTTACCGCAGAACATTTCAGTATGTTGTTGTGTGTGCTATTGTGTGCTATCACATTTGCGATAATTTATTTTTTTATTCATTTCTGTTTATTTTGATTCATTTTTTTTTCCTGCGAAGCTTTTCAATTGTTAAACATTAGTAAGAGTTTGACTTCAAAAACTAGGGCCAGCATTATAAATTAATTGGAAGTTTGTGTTTGTATGTGTGTTTCTTTTTTTTCTTCTCTGCAAACATCAGGATTGTTTGTTCTATGCAAAACCCCATCGTTCATATTTTTTCCACCTGCCCCTCAAAACTCATTTTATGGGTATTATTTTCCCGAATAATTGTGTTTTTTTTATAAAGGAACGTACGCACCATCTGGACTTCAAACAGCATGGGGGAGAGAGCGCGAGTCTTGCGGGGTCTTTCTTCTGGGCCGTAATGGACTAAATAATGATGCTGTCAATTTTTCAAAGCGCTTCATTCCCAAATACGTGATTAAAATGAGTCAAATGAACAGGGTGATGACAGGCTGAGTCAAAGGTAAAAAAATCAAGAGAACAAGAAAGTGCAGTTAGAAGGGTGTGTGTGTGTGTGTGTGTGTGTGTGTGTGTGTGTGGAAGGGGGGTGGGGGGCTCATTTGTTGTTTCAATCCTTCCATGTTGTCATTTATGAAATGATTGGTCCCCGGGTGTTGTCAGGTAAATCTTTGTTACACGCTGATTTCAGTGGCACGTGAATATCCTCCTGAGTTGAGGTGTCATTGTGTTTGTGTTTTTCTCAACAGATTTCATCACGTTTTCTCACGGGGGAGTATTTATGTTAGAACTCAGCTGATTTTTGTTTTTCACTGGGGAGCTATTGATCAATGCCTCAAGTCATCAGCGAATGCTGATGTTCTGTGATGTGTGGAGTGTTACAACATGCTCCCCTTTCAAACCCCAAAGCCATTTATTATGTGCATACATCACATGTTGGATTCCAGCCACACACGTTATCTGCCTGACAACCGCGAATCATTCATTACACAATTCAGCTACACATTTTAATTGCCTATAAGAGTCAAATGTCACACGTCAGTGCATGCGTGTGTCCTACTTGACTTTATACTTTGCAGAGTTATTCTGTTGTTTATAATATTTGTAGGTTAGTTTTTTGGGGGGATTTGCATACAACACTTTTTAGAGTTACGCAAGTCGAAAGATTATGAGCGCTCACTGATGAAACAAACAGCTTCAGTTATCCTGTTCAACTACAAAATTCTGAGATACTAAATTAGATGTTAAGTGAACAGTCGGCGCTTATAACCCAAACCACCTTGAAGGACGCCATATATTTATGTTCATACCCCGACATGATGCCAGAGTCCAGAATTCTGAGCGATGAACCAAAAGCGTTGTTATAGTCGTGATATATTGTCGAGATCGCTGCATGCATCTTTGGCAAAACTTGTTACCGTCACGCTGAAAGTGAAATTTTCAAAACTTCGTCGAGCTCTGTTTCAGTAAAAATCTCTCGCACTCTGTTTGTGTTTATATGTAAATAATATGCATTATACATCACATTATGCAACCCTGTCACCTTTATTACCAAAGAATTGCTTTTGAAATTCTGTCAGAAAGCTGTGGATACAGAAATTCATCATAAAAAAGAAACTGTTAACTTAATATTGCATGAATAGAATAAGATAGGATATTGCCAGCTGTATGCGCAGAGATAAATATTTTTGCCTGCAGTCAGAATGTTAAACTATAGACCTCACTTGTAGGATGCGAGTCGAGATGCGGTGCCTCTAAACGGGGTAGTGCTCACATTGTTGACGAGGGCATTAATTAGAAATGCCTCCAGCGTGGTTCTTGTGCTATTCTCGACCTTGCAAGTGGATACTTTCTGAATTCTCAGAGTTCGGAAATCATGAAAACAACTTCCTGCGTTGTTATCACAGCTCACGAGTTCAATCTGCAGGAACATAAAGGTGAATCTGCTAAGAATAATTATAGCTCTGTTACATTTAGGTGTAACTGTAATACATAAAGCTAGTATGTACCATATGTTATTAGTTACAGTGTCTGAAAGGGTTTTGTCATGGTCCCTTGATAATGGGCAAACAGATTTCTCTCCTCCATCATTTTCTTAGCTCTAATGCTAATTGTGCTACAACAGTATACAGTAACTATAGAGTCGAACTGGTCTAGACCGACTATGTGATTCTGTGATAGCACCATCTGTATCTTTCTGCATTATGTTCTTTAATTTCATATTTTGGTCCATCTAACACACTCTGGCACTGTACCTTTGAGTCCCTATCGTCCTGTGACACCGGCCGACTTAAATGAGGGTCGGGCTCTGGTTACAGTTACAGTCTCATTTCATATTTAACATCTGACATTAAAGTCTCTAAAAGAGCCTAATTGGCATACCAGCGGAGTAATTATGCTAATCTGTTGAGACTCAATTAATGTTAGATATACTGAACTGATTGCACGTTTTTCCTCATTATTTTGTTTTCTGTTTTGTGAAATCGTGATAAAGCATATTCACAGATACCCATCGTTTATTATGCATTTCTTCATTTCATTTTGTTTTCTTCACAGAAGAATCACTGCTCATCCTAGCTGTGCGGGGTTGTCACTGTGCAGTTTAGTGGAGAGTAGGAGAAAAAGCAGTTAGTTGTGGTCTCGTAGAGGATTTTAGAGAATCTTAATACAATCTTTATAAGTGTTGATAAAGTCTTATGACTGATCCTCACTTGACTGTGATATTTTCCCTTGATTGAACTCTTATTCAGTCCTTAACCACTCTCCCTGAGGTTGTTTTGCCAGTGTTTTGTCATCCTAGCTGACACGGTTTGACCCAGTATTTCATCTGACACTATTCTATTCTATTGTTACCAAGAGCTGCTCCTTCACAGAGCTCCCCATCAGCCTGCTAACACGTGCCCTCTTGAAGCGACTGTGTTCGCTCCCCCCAATGAAAACATGCACTTTTGGCCTCTTAAGTTCCTGAAGTGTCATTGCCAATGTCTCTGTTCTGGTAGATTATGTTCTAACTTATTAAAAGAATTTTTTTTTGGAGGACACATTCCCAACATTTGTTAAAGAGAGAATTATACATTAAAGACTCTTGAGGGCTCAGATCTCATAGCTGCTTGCACTTGAAGAAGGCACTAGAGGAGCAGTGAGACTGGTAATATTGAGAGACAGAAGAGTGGGACGCAGAGGAGTGCATGCGTTTGTTTGTTTTACCTCACATTCTCTCTCTCTGAATGCGCTGCATGGCAACCTATGTGTGTGACAGTGTGCCATGTGTGGCTGCTTCTCTGTGTAGGCATGTGTGTGTCTGTATGTGTGCAAATGGATCTGTGTGTGTGTGTGTGTGCTCGTGCCAATGTAGAAGCGAGTGAAACACAGCCACAACATCTGCCTGTTTTTGTGACACTGCTTTGAAGTCTCCCCAGTGCCCGCTAAAAAAGACTTCAGACGCTTTCTGTCTGATTGCCTTAACGTGGCGTTGTCCTGGGATGCCCAGGCTTTTGAGGAGCGGGAGGGGGCAGGAGCCTGAGCGCACAGTGCAAACCACAGTAAGAGGAGTAAAAAGAAAAAATCCAAGGAGAGTAATGAGGATGTGCAATAGCTGGGGAATACATGCAATACAGGTAGGGAAGTGTGAAACACTGCAATTCATCTTAGATCCACCTACACTTAACTACAATGCGCTTTACTCATTGCTTGTAATTTGTGTAAAATGATTACAATATGCCTGCGAGGTGTTTTATTTTTTTCTGTCCATTGCTGTTTACAGTATTGAATGTATGTGAATACAGCTAACTCAAGTACCTGTAAGGATATAAGGTGCATTTCAATGTAAAGTCCCCCACCCGTATTTCTTGCAGATAGTCTCCATCATCCCAAATATGTGATGTAGGTTTGACAAAACAGTAGACTTATCTTCTCCTTTTGACATCTCCCAAACTCTTGAGATGCGGCTTCACAGCATGTCAGACCAGTCTATTTCTGGTGTTTCATGGGCCGTGGAGGGTTGTACTTATTAGCATTCTTACTATGTAATGTTGACTCTCACTGGCAGTGCTATTAAAACGTTCTTCGGAGCAAAGTCAAGGCTGAGAGAGGTCGAGAGAGGGGTAAGGGCTTCATCGCATGGCGGATGGCTCCGTGCGCCTGGTTCTGCTGAAGGTTTCTTCTTATTAAAAGGGAGTTTTTCCTTCCCCCTTTTGCCAAATCCTTGCTCGCAGGATTCCATCGGATTGTTGGGGTTGGAGTTTTCTCTCCATTAATGCAAAGTCAATATAAAGTGCCTTGATGCAGCTGTTGTTGTGAAATAAAATTGAATTGAATTTGACACTGAAGGAGAAAAACACTGACTGGAACAGAATGGAGCACAAAGGGGAACTCACTAAAAACTGCCTCACCAAGACGCACACGCTCTGTTGGAAGATATAAATGACATCAAGCAAAAGTATCAACAGTACAGCCGGTGTTACAAAAGAAACAAACAATAAAACTCAAACACAATTCATTCCCAAAACCAAAAGCAGTCATGAACCCACAAAAATTCTAAACCCTGGGTCTAAGATCCAGGACCATGACAACACAGATGGTAAAAAACCCTCAATATGCAATTCTCAGTAAACAGAAATACAAGAAACCTGTACTTAAAATGTGGACTTTTTATTTTTTGTGATGTACTTAGTGTTACAATGGTGGGACGCTCATATTGAACATGGCCAAAGCTTCAAATAATGACCTCAGCAAATCTGAAAGTAATCACCTTTGCAAAATGCAGTGTGAGCCTGAGCAGAAGGCCTTCTACACATAGAGGGAAAAAATTACTGGACATTCATTTTAATTCACTTAATTCAGCAGGTTTCTTTTTATCTCTGTCCAGACAATTGCAGATTTGGAGGCCCAGTTGTCAGAGCTACGTGAGGACCTCAAGAAGGCCCATGCCCAGCATAAGCAGCAGCTGGCCGAGATGGCGTTGCTCCAGGAGGAGGAAAAGCAAAGAGCAACCCTGGACAAGCAGGCATCCCTGGACCGGCTCGAGAGAAACCACCAGCAGGAGAAGGATGCTGCACATGAGAAGGTGAGAAAGTATAAGATATGGGTTTTTAACTCTGTTTTGACTGGGTGAATGAATACTGGAATGCCTGGAGTAGTAAAGGTTAAGGAGGTGTGGGGAATCTGCATGTTTTCCAAAAGTCAAAGAAGAAAACAACCTGGGAAAACATCAAAAGCAGCAACAGAACATCTCGAATAATTTAAACAGTGAATTTGAGAAAAAGAGGATGAACTGAAGAGGTTGTATACCTGTATAAAAGAGAGGGGGTTTCATAGAAGCCTTGTGCTTAAAAACAGTACCTGAAGTCAAGAAAGATGGGATGCAGAAGCTTTGTTTTGTAGGCTGAGTGTTAAAAACAGTGATTCTCATTTTCACATCAGCTGTTAGATCTACTGAACCTGATTTGTTGCTCTAGCAAAGTTTCTGGTGTAACAACGAAGTCTTTAAAATCTTTGGTAGGCACCTCATCTCCTGCTATTAGGAGATTTTATCCAACAACCCTGGGTATTTAGTCTGAACATTGCACGAAGTTGCCCTTTCATAATGGGGGACATTCACTCCAAGCACGTTCTCATTGCTGCAGAGCAGTTTGGTTGAGGTGAGAGTACTGCATGGGCAAAACGCGCAGGAGGCGGGACACGCGGCGTCCACTTGCTTTCTGTGAATTCTCGATCTGTTGTCACAGGCTCACTCGGACATCAGACTTCGAACTAGAAAGCTGGCATGTTAAAAACTGCTCAGTGTCCAGTCCTGACTGCTTACATTTGGTCAGGTAATGTTCAGAACGTTTGTGGCTGCAGTGAGTCTGGGAAACTGTTTTAAATGTCGGAGCATTTGGCTAAGAATACAATTGGGCCAATGTTATCTGACCCTAAGGACAGATTTCCCTGAACTGCTCAATCAAATCAACCGAATATGCCTAAACAAAAAGTTGGGCAATAAGTGCTGTCAAAATCAAAACTATTTGTACTTTTGGGTCTTTGGGGTAACCCACTTATCATCGTGGAATATACTGTTTTGAAATGTGCAAGGTCAGTTGTAGAGAGAAAACCGCAGCATTTCAATAGAGCCATTGTTCAGCATTGCTTTTTACTATTCCTAACGCACCAGGAAGTACTTCAATGAAATCTTCCATCAACTATCCATCTTCTTTTCTTGCTTTTGTGCTTTTTTACTTTCTCTCTGTCATATTCGTTCGTTCGCCGCCTTAGAAGCTGGACCCACGGTTGCGAAATCGCTCATAATCTTGTGCTTGCCTAGCAGGAAGCTGACCTAAGGTGGTGTTGATCATAAACTAATCCTTACTGCAGGGCCCATCAAAGAGAGCATTTTTCATTAAACACCATCCCACACCAGCTGTGCAGCATTAGGCCCGGAATGCAGGGACCTCCGAAGCACCCAGGCGGCCATTTTGGCTCCATATGGCGAACAGAATCAGTAATTCTGAAGCGAGAAAGACCCGAGAAAGAGAGTGTGCTTACGACAGCGTAATCTTTATTTGAAGAACTCACGCTATTTACTAGCAGTCCCTTTTGGATATGCAAAGGCTGTTTTTCAGCTAAAAGTTGTTTTATCTTTTAGGCCCCGCTTTAATTCCTCTGTGTGTCTTTGGTCTTTTATGTACGCAAGAAAAAAAATGACCCACAGTTGCTGGGCAGTCTGGAGTGGATTCAAAGCTGCGTTGAACTCAGACAGATAACACTATCAGCAATGCGCTAGTTTCACTTTCATGAAGAGATTAATGATTTCTCCATCCTTTTTGTCAGCTCAACGTTGATTCTTCAAAAAAAGATTCACCAAAGGTTGAACATCTTACTTTCCTTTTTTTTTTTTTGTACTTTCTTATCTGTCTCCAAGTTTGACTTTGCAGTGGGCAGGGAAAACTTTTACTATTTCTTACACCCTGTTTCTTTTTTTCCCACATGCAATTGAAGTCAGCCAGACCTCAGATCCATATTGACTCGTTCGCCCTGTTTTGTAAGCTGAAAATTTCTCATTCTTTTGATGCAGACAGAAATGCTGTCCTCTGCAGTCCACCATGCTCTTGGAAGCAGAGGCTGAGCAGGCCAGCTTTCCCTCTTTTTTATATATATATATTTATATATTTTTTTTAACCCATCTCCCAGATTCTGAAAAAAGAAAAAAAAGAGGCAAGAGAAATCCATTAAATCCATGAATGGATTCTCATCAAAGACACGTGCGTTTAAGGGAGAGACAGAAAGGGAGAGCGATGGATACAGGGGGGGATGTGGGGGAGCGGTGTTTTGGTGGAGGTTCTGGGAGTAGACGGGCAAAGCTTCTGGAATGAAATGATGAGAAGCAGGAAATCAGAGGAGATAAGATCAGACGTTGAGATAGTTCAATGCATTTGATCACCAAAAAGGAAAGGAGAGAAGGAAAAGTGATGGAAGCAGGCTCAGGAAAAGGTGTGTGGAGGTGTGTTAGACTGGATGCTATTGAAGCTTATCTTTGCTAGTGTGTGTGTGTGTGTGTGTGTGTGTACACACATACATGCACATGTGTGAACACACACAGCCCCAGACCTCTCAATCTCTATTCTGCACTGAGGGGTCTGTGAAGCCGCTTCTGTGCCTGATAAAGACGCCTCATCTCTGGGCTACAGTGAGCATGAATCCTGCCTCTTACGCACACCACCTCCTTATTTGACTTTTTTATTCTACCCTACACCTCCACCCTCCATTTCTCTGTCTCTCCCTCTCTCTCTCAGTCTTCACCGATATCTTTAACCCTTCCTTCAAGCTCTAGCAAGACTTATAATGTTTGTGCTTTCTGTAAATAGTTAGTTTTAACCAGAAGCCTTCGCTAAGCAGCTTGGAGGCACAGTTTCTTACCACATGCATATGAACAGGTTCTTGTCAAACACCAGCTATATTTGCACTCAGTGCTTAGTAGAAGTTGAACTCACCCCACACCCCACAATAAGATATTATCAGAATACTACACTGCATTACAATGTAGTCGTGATCACGGTAATATGCCTAATTAATCCCCCCCCCCCACCTGGTGCTTAATAGGGATATGAAGTTTGACATTTGTCTAGTGGAGAAAAGGTCTTTATGTTGGACGTCTTCACCCCACACAACTGTATATATCCATGTATAGCCACACCTTGCTTGCTAATACAGCCAAGAGTTCTGAGACAATGAAAGACAAAAGATCAGGAGGCTTCAGGTTTGATAGGAATTTAATGAAATTTGGAAATTAAAATTTATATTCACCTTTAGTCTGGAGAGTAAAGCACCTTGAACTGCAAGAAGAGGTTAGATGTGTGAATTTTGTCTAATATGGTTGTGTGGACCTGACTATATCTGCATGAGTGTGTACCGGTAGAAAAGAGAGGGCGCATAAATACAGAGACATGTTGAGTTTCCTTGTTGCATCTGTATGACATACACCAGCTTCTTTCTTATATTATTTTAATTGTTGGTATAACCAACACATGTACATTAAAAATGAAGGAGAAAAAAAGCTTTCCATGGGTAAGTAGTAGAAAAGGACTGTGTGTGCATGCACAGGGTAGTGTCCATGTGCATGCACACTTGCACCCCACATCAAAGGAACGGGGCATTTCATCAAAAACTAACCGAGTGTGACAAAATTACCTGAAGGCAAAGTCAGCCAATGAGAAAGCAGCTTTTTGGCATGCAGTAGCCAACCACTGCTTCCTGTCACTGCACTAGTTTCCCCCTGGCTGTGCCCCATGTGATGTCCATGACATGAAAGGCACTACAGAGCTCAGTCATCCTCTGACACAGGCGCACACAGGCTGAGCATCAGACAGCTACACCATGGAGGCCTGTGCCTTCCAATTGGTCTCTTTAGTTTCACAGGTGTTTTTGTTTGCTTCAAGGACGTTTTTCACTTTAACCTGAGAGGTTTTCCTCTGAAAGCTACCTAGCTTCAGAAGGTGAATGAGACTGTATCCCCTAACTGGAACTGGGGCTTTGTTTTGTGTTTTCGCTCACTGGCGCGATGCTGCAAATGTATAAGCCTTTTATAGTGATGAAAATAAGAAAGTGCGCCCTATTTCAATTCCAAGGTTTTACATACCAGGACTTCTCCTTTTTTTTTTAAAAATAATCTGGTCCTTAGCAGGTCCCAAACTAATTTAAATACCTCAGGTGAACAGCAACACATATTTTATTGCAATGTTTTTTTTATTCAACAAAAGCTAAGTGAAAATGCAGAAGCAGAAAAAACTAATCAGATCCTTTTAGTCAGCAGCTTGTAGAACCACAGTTAGCAGCAATAACTGAAGTGATCATTTTCTGTATGACTTTATTAATCTCAATTTTTTTGGAGGAATTTTCATTCACTCTTCTTTATTGTCTTGCTTCAGTTCATTGAGGTATGTGGGCATTCAGTTATGCACAGCTCTCCTAAATGCCACAGCATTTCAATCATGCTGAGGCTGCATGATCCACTCTGGGCCAAACTGATGGCCGCGCGTCTCTTTCTAGAATACTTGGCATACAGATCAATTCATGGTCCCGTGCCTGCAAAATAAGCCCAAGTCATCACCCCTCCAGTGCTGTGCTCGACAATAGGTACGAGCTGTTTGTTCTCATATGCTGTGTTTTGATATCCCCAGACATAGTGCTGTCCATCATGGTCAAACATCTCTACTTTATTCTCATTTGTCCAAAGGACATTGTTCCAGAAATCTGGTTGTTTGTTCAGATCTGGTTTTACAAACCTGTGCTGTGCTGAGATGTTCTTTTTTGAGAGAAGAGGCTTCTCTTTGTAACCCCCCTATCCAACACCCTGAACAGGTCACTAGTGTGTTGTAGACGGAGACAGAAAGCCATTTGCACTTACATTTGCAGCTATGGGCAATGTAGAGTCACCAGTTAACCTAACCCAACTAACTCCATGTCTTTGGACTGTGGGAGGAATCTAGAGCACCTGGAGGGAACCCATGCAGACATGAGGAAAACATACAAACTCCACACAGAAAGGACTCAGCCAGATGGTGGATTCAAACCAGGACCTTTTTGCTGTGG